AGCCAGCAGGGACTCGTGCTCTATCAGAACCTGACGGGCAAGGCTTGGGTTGCAGCTGAGGAGCTTTCGGTTAGCCGATTGGGTTCCAGTGGTGGTGTGGAGTACTTCGTGGCATGGCTGAATGCAAGGTTTCTGGATCTTGAGGTTGCACGAATCGGGAGAGCATTCAGTGACTTCTTCAGAAAGCTTAGACGGCGCAATGGACAAAGCATCCGGGAGTACAACAGCGAGTATGACAGGCTACACGCTCGTCTTCGAGAAGTCGGATGCTGCTTGCCGCAAGAGTGCGCTGCATGGCTATATGTAGACCGACTACAACTAGACGAACCACAAGAGCTTAACCTACTTGCCAGTGTCGGGAACCAGTACAACCTCCTCAAGCTTCAACAAGCTGCTGTGCTACATGATAGGAGCCACAGAAAACCATGGGAATCCAAAGCAAAGCGGCCCTACACAGCCCACCTCACCGAAGACGCGGACGGCGATGATGCTGGCGAGGACCGCGATGACGCCTTCGAGCACTCCGAGGGCGAGGAGGGCATTCCAGAGGAGGTGGCGGTTGCGTACGCCACCTACCAGAGCGCGAAAGACAAGTATCGCGAGCAGGCGAAAGCTCGCGGTTACCATGGAGATCGCGGAGGACCGAATGCCGGCAGAGACAAGGGCCCTGGGAACGGCGCGAGTACTTCGCGCGACGACAAGATCAAGCTGATGAAGGCGAGATCGTACTGCATGAGCTGCGGCAAGAAGGGTCATTGGCACAAAGACCCAGAGTGCCCCAACCGAGGAGCCAAGGAGGTCGAGATGTGCCATCACGTGCCCTCCGAGGTCTATGCGCTCAGGCACGACGGGCCCATCCTTGTCGGTATCACGGACACTGCTTGCGCTAAGTCGGTCGCAGGCACGACTTGGCTCCAGAGCTACAGCGACCTTGTGAAGGACTCGCTGGGGAAACCTGAGTTTGTGAGGGAATCCGAGGCGTTCAAGTTTGGCACGGGCAAGGTGCATCACTCTGCCTTCTACGTCCTCGTGAAGTTCAAGCTCGGGGATAAGGTGGTTGAAATGAAGACGTCAATCATCAATGGCGACATCCCGCTCCTTTTGTCGAAGGGGGCACTGGCCCAGCTTGGGATGGTGTATGATGTTGCCGCCAACCGTGCCAGCTTCAACAAGGTTGGATTGGCGAACTTCGATCTGGTGACTACCTCTTCTGGTCACCCTGCCATACCGATAGCCCCGCCTAGGTCAGAAGACGACGGCGCAAAGCTCGTCATTTCGGACTCAGCAGCCTCGATTGCTCGTGCATACATGGCGTTTGCAGTTGCGTGCCCTAAGACCCCTCACCTCGACCTCTACGACGACCCCAGGGCTACTACATCTACTTCTACAGACCCCGAGATCCCAGACTACGCCACAAGGTCCGACAGGCCCTCCACCACGTCTACTACTTCTACGACTTCTGATCGTCAAGATGAAGGCCGGTCTAAGCAGCATTGGGGAACCAAGTTTAGGATCTTCTATGACAAGAAGCTAAATCCTGCTGTGCGTGAACTTCTTATTCAAGACCAGCTACAGGCTACATCTTTCGTGTCATGGTGGGAGAACACCAAGATCACTACCGATTTTTGGTTGGAGAGCGAATTTGCATGGCATAGGATTCATGTCACCCCCCGGAGAGCGCTTTGCAATCCCTACACATGGAAGACTCAGTCCACTGTGCAGAAAGACATGCTTCTAGAGTCTATTAGTGAGGTCCGCATCACTGAGGGATTCTGCTGTAAGAACGGGAAGCCTCTCGAGATCAATGTGGATAGGTGGAGTCGTAAAGGCGGCGATCAGAGCTTCGAGATCCTGTGGATTGGCAGAAGCACTTTTGCTAAGCGACCTTGTAGCTCGCCACTACCTTCTCCCGCCCATCCTCTTCGAGGGCATGGATGCGCCATGCAAGCCGCCGGCCATCTCCAAGATGACGAAGGTGCAGCTGTTGGAGGAGTGCACGCGAGTGGGCCTGGTGGTACATCGCAATTGGTCGGTAGAGGAGATCAAAGCGGTGATCCAAGAGCACCGCATGGCCAGTTCGACGACGTCCCCCTCCTACCAGATGAAGTCCATCACGAATTTGACCTTGCCGGAGCTCAAGATGAAGGCCGACGAGCTCGGTGTGCTCTACCCTGCGAAGATCACCAAAGGGAACCTCCTAAGGCTGGTACGAGATCATGTGGCCACCCCGGCCACAGAGCTGATGAAGATCGGGCGCTACACCGGCTGGGAGTATGGCGAGATTCCTCGGCAATACGGGATGTGGGCAGCAAGGGAGATCCGCATGAGCGGGAACCCCCATCCGGAGTTGGTGCGCTTCGCTCAGTGGTGGGAGAACAAGGAGCACGAGACCCACTACGGCACCAGCGTCACCTTCGAGGAGAATGCGACCGTGCCCTACCAGCCGGAGAACGAGACGGTGAGCGAAGCGCAGAGCTCGAA